GTGTGTGTGCGTGTGTGTGTGTGTGTGTGTGTGTGTCTGTCTGTCTGTCTGTCTGTCTGTCTGTCTGTCTGTCTGTCTGTCTGTCTGTCTGTCTGTCTGTCTGTCTGTGTGTGCGTGTGCTTTGGTCTGCCCGCCACACCCCACCTTTTTCCTCCCCCCCCCCCCTTCTCTCTCTTCTCTCACTCACTTCCCCACCCCACCACCGTAGGAGATGCAGCAGCTGTTTGCCGCGGCGGACATTGAGGACGGACGCAAGTTTGTCGAGCATCTGCGCACCCACCAGCTCAACATCAACGCAAAGGACCCGACAGGTAATCGTGGAGACGCGCCTGGAGCCGAGTGTGAAGCACAAGGGCAACCAAGCGCACAAAAGCTTCGAACACACTCACGCACACACACGCACACACACATACATACACACACATACACACGCATACATACATACACACACACACACACACTCTCTCTCTCTCACAACGCACAATAACAACCAAAACCAAAACCAAACAAACTGACCTGACTGACCTGTGTCTGCTTGGTGTCTGCATTTCAGGGTTCACGGTGCTCCACTACGCTGCGCTAAACAACCTGACGTCCATCCTGCTTGCGTGTCTCGACACGTTTGGCATGGATCCGAACCTGGCAGACCTCTGGTGGGTGTTCGTGGATGCACAGGGCAATGCGTTCCAGACTTCTGCATCATGTGTTTCGTCGTTTCTTGGTGCACACTAACACACTCGCGTACACGCACGCACACACACATACACATGCTCACGCACGTACACGTATGCATTTGCGCTTTTCAGCGGTCGCTCACCTCTCCACTACGCTGCCCAGATGGGCAACATCAAAGCATGCCAGGTACCCTGTTTGCACATGCATGTGCAACCCCCACAAGAACTGTTCTTTGTGCTGCGTTTCAATCAATCACTCACTCACTAATTACTCACATGCACAACCTCACTCACATGCGCACTCACTCACTCACTCACTCACTCACTCACTCACTCACTCACACGCATGACACGCAGATGCTGTTGCACCACGGTGCTGACATTGGGTTCCGGGACCGCGCGTCGTTTGTGCCGATGGACCTTGCTGCGGCGGAGGGCCACGACCTGGCGCCGTACCTGCGCGGTGATGACGGCGCTAAGGAGTCTCCAGATGTCACCAGCACCGCCGCCACCGAGGCCGCACGCACGTCTGCAGGCTCACCCATGCAAGGTGCGTAGCTGAGATGTGTGCGTGTGTGCGTGCGTGTGTGTGTGTGTGCGTGCGTGTGTGTGTGTGTGTGTGTGTGTGTGTGTGTGTGTGTGTGTGTGTGTGTGTGTGTGTGTGTGTGTGTGTGTGTGTGTGTGTCTGCGTCACCATTGCGAGTGAGCTGTTCTTTGCACACACACACACACATCCGCACGCTTTGTCGCTCACACTCAAACTCACCCTCTGCCCCCCCCCCGCTTGTCCCCGTTGCCACAGGTGAATCCTACGTGTAACTAGTACACAAACATACCAGTTGCCCCCTCCCCCTTCTCTCTCTCTCTCTCCTTCTCACACACACACACACACTCTCTCTCCTTCTCACACACACTCTCTCCCCTTCTCTCGTCTTCCTTCCCTCTCTGTCCATTCCTTTGCGTTCAAACATCGCTGCACACCGTAAACGACGACGACTGACATCAGTTGTAGATAATTCACTGTGATGTTAATAATGTTCATTATCTGCTGGGTTGGAGCCAAGCAAGGCGGAAGCAAAGGAAGAGCGCACAACACACACACACACACACACACACACACACACACACACACACACACACACACACACACACACACACACACACACACACACACACACACACACACACACACACACACACACACACACACACACACACACACACACACACACACACACACACAAACACACACACACACAGCCGTCATCAATCATGGGGGCAGCTGCTGTGGCAATGGCGTTGGCTGTTGTCGCGGTGCTGCTCGCTGGCAGTCCACCATGGACTGATGCAGCGCCATCCATCGCAGCGCCACCCATCGCAGCGCCACCCATTTTGCGCCTGCTCTCCCCTCGCGAAGTACGCACAACCACCAACTGCGTTTTCTGTGATCCCATGCATGCTTTGTTGCTGCGTGTACATGTGCATCTGTGTCACGTGCTCCGAGCCATTGTTCATATTGTTCATACCCTCACCCCGATCCCTCTCCCCATTTCCGTCTGTGTGCGCGAAGACCATCGCCCTCTGCGACCGAGTGGACGATACACTGTCGCAGATAATGGCAGCGCTGCATGCTCAAGGTGCTGCTGCTGGTGCCGCGCACAACACCACGCAACAACAACAGCAACGACGACCGCAGATTGACCTGTCCTCAATTCGAGACATGATGGACGTGGTTGGCTGTCCCGTCAACGATGAGGAATATGTTCAACCGCAGGTGCTTCTGCCTCCAAAACCACGGGACAATCACGCGTCCCCACCACGACCACGCGCCACACGTGCGCCCAGCAACACCACTGAACCCACCACCACGTCACTGTCCGTGCCCTCCGCGGCCACCATCACGCGCACGACCGCCGCCCCCTTGTTGCAGTCATCCCAGCGACGCCTGCAGCGGCAACGAAGAGAGGACCCGCTCAAAGTGGGCTCGTGCACATTCTCCAGCGTGGTGGACGGCACATGCCCTCCCCCGCCTTTCAACGCCTCCCTGACAATCACCTTCGAGGACGAAACTGAGGTGCCGGAGGGCGCAGACCCCCAGCGCGTGCTTGCCATCTCCTCCAACGTCTTCGATTTGGTGTTGAGTGGCAGCGTGCATGAGCAGCCCTTCCGCTTCATCGTCGACAACGGGGACTGGACGCGGGTGACCCTGCTTGACATTGAGGGATTGGAGTTCCGCGTGTTCGAGCTCAGGTGGCTCAACGGCTTCTCCAGTGTGACCAGCCTGGTGATTGCCAACAACCCGAGCCTCGACCTCGATGCCTCAGGGTTTGCGCTCGCTTCACAGCTGGTCACGTTCAGCCTGGAGGGCAACTCGCTGCCACAGGTCTCCGACGATGTGTTTGCCGGCATGACGGCGCTGCAATTCCTCAACCTCGGCCATAACCGCATTCGCACTGTGCCCATGCGCCTCTTCAGCTCCATGCCGCTGCTGCACACGCTCTTCCTCAACAACAACATCATCACGCACGTGGAGGACGCGGCGTTTGCGGCCCTCAAGTCCCTCCTCGTGCTCAGTGTCCGCTTCAACGACCTCACCCAGCTCTCCCAGTCCGCCCTCTCCGGCCTGTACCAGCTGAAGGACCTGCGTCTCGGCGGCAACCCATTGCAGACCCTCACCCCGCTCGTGTTCTCGCATCTGCACGCGCTGGTGTCGCTGGACGCGTCGGATATGCTGCTCTCCACCATCCACGCAGACGTCTTTGCCGCCACCACCAGCCTCAAAATCCTCCGCCTTCGCGGCAACGCCATCACGTCCTTGCCTGCAGGCATTTTCCGGCACCTCTCGCAGCTGGAGCTGCTCAACCTGCAGCAGAACAGGCTCGCCTCGCTGCCGCCCACGCTGCTACAGCCGCTGACGAGCCTCCAGGTCCTGGACATTGGCCACAACACGCTGGCCTCGTTCCCGCCCAACTTCTTCGATGTGTGCGAGCCGCTGTTCCTGGTGCTGGCAGACAGCAACCGCCTGACCGCGCTGCAGCCAACCATCTTCAAACACAACCGGCAGATGGCGCGCGCCGTGTTCTCCAACAACGCCATCACCTCCATCGAGGGCGTGTTTGCAGACACGCCCCTGCTGGAGATGCTTGACATGGACAGCAACCGGCTCACCCGCTTCCCGCCGTTTGACCTGCCACAACTCTTCCACCTCGTCCTCAGCAACAACCCCATCACCCACCTGCCAAACGTGACCAGGCTGCCCTACCTCACCACGCTGCGCCTGCGCAACCACCACATCACCGCCCTCGACCTCACCCCCGTGCTCTCCCTCACCCTCATTGGCACGCTGGAGCTGGACGCGGCACCGCACATCCGCTCCGTTGCCCAGTTTGACGCGAGCCAGCTGCCGCAGCGCAGCCGCCCACCACTCCTCCGCACCCTCCGCCTCATCAACGTGGACGCCACGCCCATCATCAACCAGCTGCAAGCGCTCGCCGTGCTGAGCCTCGAGTCGCTGCACATTGGCTGGCCGGGCCTCGATGCCTCCGTCAGCCCCGTAGTCGACCAAGTGTGTGATCTCCTCGCAGACAACGTGCGCGAGCTGGCGCTCACCCGCACGGGGTTTACCTCCATCGACCTGTGCCCAACCAAGACGTTTGACGCCGTGTTCCTGCAGAACAACGAGCACCTGCAAACGGTGACCATCCACAACGCCCTGTCCGAGCTCAACGTGTCCAGCTGCCCCTCCCTCACGGAGATTGTCGTGCCCTCCGTTGCTGTGCTCGACATGAGCAGCACCTACCTCCGCCCCAGCGTCGCCTTGTGCCGCAGGTGGGGGTTCAGGATGCTGTTTGCGCGCAACATGCCCAGCGAGCTGTTCCGTACCATCCAGGCTGCACGTGCCCTGGGCAACTGCCTCGTGCGCGTGGACGTTCTCGATGCTTCTGGCAACGCGTGGCTGGACCAGCCGGGCGAGCTGGCCCGGTTTGCCGGCGAGCTCGTGGCCCTCTCTGACACAACATTTGTGTCGCTGGCCTTTGGGCCCGTGCGGTCGCGGTCAACGCCCCCCGTGCTGCAGCTGCGGGACACGCCTGTCGAGTGCACGATTGAGCTGCAGACGAAGGAGCTGCGACACGAGGAGGACCTCAACGTCGGCCTGCAGGTGGTGTACTCGTTCCAGTGCGGCTGCTCGCAGGGATACCGGCTCAACTCGAACAACGTGTGCGAGCCAAAGGGCCCCAACATTGCTGCGATTGTGGGCGGGTCCCTGGTGGGTGGACTGGCCATCCTGGTGCCCGTGGTGCTGTGGCTCTACCGCCGCTACTGGAAGAGCAAGATCAAGCACCAGCAGCTGCTGTCGGAGAAGGACGAAGAGGTGATGGCGCTGAAGAGGGCGTGGGAGATTGAGTACGATGAGCTGCACATTGTGAAGCGTGTTGCTGCGGGCTCGTTTGGTGCCGTGTTCAAGGCCAAATGGGACACGGTGACGGTTGCGGTGAAGGTGCTGCAGCAAGCCGTCATGGCGCTGGATGAACACACCGTGATTGAGTTTGAGAAGGAGGTGGAGTTCCTGCAGAAGACACGGCACCCGAACGTGGTGCGGTTCTTTGGCGCGGGCACAGACCCCAACGGCAGCCCGTTCCTGGTGCTGGAGTATGTGGCGATGGGATCACTGAAAGATCTGTTGGGGAA